TGATGATTTCCTGCTGATTACAGAACCGGCTTCACTAACAAAATGCACATGACAATCGCATTCGATTAATCGTGCAGGCCTAACTAAAAGTACATAACACATATTGGTACATATGGTCTATATTTGTACGTTTCGAAAAGGTACTGCCCCAGTGATAGCTTTAATACTTTTTTTTTCTGAGGGAGAATTTTGAATTTTGTTTACACTTCACACAAAATACAAACAATAATCAAATTGTCACCAACAAAACCAATTTAAAGATTTTAACTGTTAAAGCATTAAGCAGCTGAAGTTAGCCTAAACTAATGGCCACATCTCACTTTGGTCTTAACAGTCTTAGAAGTCTGGTTATGTGCCAAATCATCTCTAGAGCCGTGAACCAGATCCGTGGCACTGAACTGAGGGCTTGTTCTCAGGACACACTAATGCTGTGGAATGTGAAAAAATGCTGCAAATAATACAGTAAGTCTTATTCTAAACTCGATAATTACAAAGCATGCTAAAAAGTAAAAATGCTAAAAAAGAAAATACTAAAGGTTCTCAAAAGCATACTTAAACACTTGCACATAAAAAAACACCTGTCATAGGAAAAAGAATCTTGGTTTAGAAACAAACAAAAACGAACAAATAAAGTGGCATACCTGACATCATTCCCACCATGCGCAAACGATCCGAAACAGGCGGTGAGGATTTGCAGGAAGTGGAAAAGCAGGAAGACTTGCGGCTTGTCCTTCTCTTCCTTGTCCTCATCAATGCAGTCCTCCAGCACCGCTTCAGCAGGGGCCCGGGGCTCCCTTTGATCTGCTGCCAACTTCACATCCACGTCACCTTCATCCGCTTCAATCTCAGCCTCCGCAACCGCGTTACAGTAGCTGGAATAGCTGTCATAGCGCAATCGCTTCTTCGAATAGAAGACAGTGTCGCCCACTAGCTTCTCGCTGTCCTCTGGAGGAGGGGCGCTGGACTCCGACCGCATCAGGGGCTGCACCGGCATGCCACAGATGGCTGCTGTGTAACATGTATAGCTGTTGTTGCGGCGGAGGTGACGGTAGCTGTTGTCGGGACGCGAGCTGCTGCGCTCGTCTTCCAGGCGGCCCAGGTGGATCTTGTGTAGGAGGTCCTTGTAGAGACCAGAATCCTTGTGAACGGTGTGATAGACCTGGCCGTCGCTGCGCATGTGTCCGTCAAAGCTGAAGCCCCCATTGGACACGGGTGACTTGAGGCAGCCGTTGGTCATGGAGTTAGTGCGACCTGATAGAAAAAAATGAAATAAACACATGAGGTCAGCGTAGGACATTCTGGTCAGATGGTATCCATTTAAAACAAAACAAGTCCTTTAACGTACCATACACTCTGCCGTTGGGCAGGACGGTGCCTCCATTAGCCAGGCTGTTCAACTCTCCTGTGGACTCCTCTGTCAGGGGCAGCACAGCATCGTTGCTGCTTTTTGCACCTGGAAGCTCTTTAAACACGGGGGCTTCCTCTTCCTCCTCAGGGATTTTATCCAAACTCTCATCAGAGATGCGGGAAAAAGCATGCTCTTTCTTCAGCCGACCTGTTTTGGGGAAAAAAAAGTAGGAAACCATTGAATTGAAAGTCATATATTAGATATCAATAATAGGGATGCATGATATTTCAGTATCATATTGGTTATTGGCCAATATTTGATTTGATTTTTTTTTTTTTTTGTTATATCAGTCCATATTGGATATTTAATTGTGCATCATCTTATTTCCAGTATTCTTTACATTTTTACATTATTTTACCTTTGCAGTAATCTAATGGTCTCAAAGTTAAACTTTAAAAGCAATAAAATGTAATAACACTTTAAATATAATCTTTAGCAAATTAAATATAAATTTATCATATTGGACATTATAATGTTATCATTAAATTTTTTTAATTCATTTTGATACAATAAACTAATGCACCTCAATTAGCAATGACTGGTTTTAGTTTTTAGGGTTTAATTTTAAATTTAAACTACAGTTCAATAGTTTGGGGTCTTTTGGGCAAGATTTTCAATGCTTTTAAGAAACATTTTAATGCTCATCAAGGCTGCATTTACTTGATGAAAAGTACAGTAAAACCGTAATATTGTAAAATATTACAATTTAAAATAACCGTTTTCTATTTGAATATATTATAAAATGTAATTTATTCCTGTGATGCAAATCTGCATTTTCAGCGTCATTACTCCATTCTTCAGTGTCACATGACCCTTCAGAAATCATTCTAGTATGCTGATTTGATGCTCATCAAACATGTGATCAAACATTTTATATTTTATCATTTTGTTGAAAACAGTGGCGCTGCTTAATAATATTTTGGTGGAAACTGTGAATCAATTTTTTTAGGGTTTTTTGACGAGTAGAAAGTTGTAAAAAAAAAACTATTCATGCGATATAAAAATCTTTTGTAGCATTACAAATGTCTTTACTTTCATTTTTAATCAATTTAATGCATCCTCGCTGAATAATAGTATTAATTTCTTTCTACAAGAAAAAAAAAAAACACACACTACCCCAAACATGGAATGGTAGTGGCCTTTTGAACAAAATAATACAGAATTTTTACTTATTGGTATAGGCTAAAATTTTCATATCAGTGCATCCCTAATCAACATAAATGTTATTTGCCGAGATGAGGGGAAGTAGGCAAGCTTTGTGAAACTGGTGAAAAGCTGAAAATTAAAAGCAGCATTAAAAAGATTACAGTGAGAATAATATAATCAAGCAAACATAATCACTAATAAACATGGATAATCCATGCGTGAAAAACTGTGATATCAGTACGATTACAACTGGCTCTTTTAAATCGAGCAGTGATAATGAACAACAACAAGCACTTTAAATTAGTGCCCCACATATTTAATGCTAATTTCAGCTTTACTCATAGAACTGACCCTTCTCAATAGCCTAAAAGCCAAATAAATAAATCAGATTCCTACAACTGTACCGTCTCCCATGGGAAACCGCACAATGAAGTAGACCCTTGATCTGAAAACAAATTTAATAAAGCATGCAACAATTTAAAGCGCTGATCCGTGCGTGAAAGCAGTGCTTTAACATTTCATTTCATTAGTGATTCATTTCATAAGACACTTCTCTCAATCAAAACACGTGGGCAGCCAATCTTGCAATGAGAAAGGTGCATCGACTGCACAAGGTCCGTGAGACTCATCTGAAAAAACAGTGATGTTCTCAAATAAACAGCTTCAGTTTATTTGCTTTTCATTTCTCTCAGCGTCAGTCGAACACAACATGGGCCCACAAGCCAGAGCCAGCAAAAGATAGCCTTTACATTACAGAGCGCCCCAGCAGAGCAGAGCAGCAGATGTTAGGCAAATCCTTCCCCTCCTGAGCTGGTGAAGATGCCTCATGCTGAGTCACATCTTTGATTTTTTTTCCAAAGCTAGATTAGAAATAACATTTAACTTAATGGCCAGATGTCAAGTGCAAAAACACATGGATCACACAATTTCTGCAAATTTAGTTAGTAATCACAACTGTCCTCAGATAATTGATTCCTTATTGGAAAAAGAAATAGAACATTTAGGATAAACGTTACACAGAGATCTAATGCAGACATTAATAACACCTAAAGTCACGAGTCTGCGGGAGGGAAAAGGACAGTACGTACTTGCTATTTTCCTTCTCATCCAGGGGCAAACCAAAATCCAGACCAGACCGGCACATACCAGAGCACCAGCCAAGGTAATGAGGGCAATAGCCCAGACGGGGAGCATCTCCAAGCCCAGTACTGCACAATAAAGAAAGAGCGTGACACACTCACACACATAAATACACTTTACTGTGAGATTTAACAATCCAGTTAATTTATCTTGAAACAAAAGGTATTTTAGATGGAAACTCTTAAAACAATATTGTACACATGGCCTATTCAATGACACTTATTCAGTGACAACAAACTCGTGTCTGATCAAGGACGTCTCTTGGCTGAATGTGTTATCAATTCAAAATAGTCTTACAGGGAGCTCCAGTGTACATGATGGAGAATGTGTTGATTCCGATGGTTGATGCATAGAAGAGGGGCAAAGCACGGAGACCATTGGGAACAGGGTCATCCTGTAATGGACAGATCACAGAAAGAGCTTAAACTCTGTACTGTATATACCACACAGATGTCATGAATAAGGACAAAACACATCCAATGTTACATTTATTCTTTAGTAAATGCAATATTTTGCAAATTGTTAGTTATAATTTAGCCATAGCACATATCATCAGTGTTATTTTAGATTTATTTATATATAATTATAGTATTTATTAATATTTTGAATGAGCTTTTATTTTTATATTTCCAGTGTTCATTTTCATTTCAAAGTTTTAGTGATTTTGTGTTAAATTTTATTCAAATTTTTTATATTGCTGTTCAGCTTTTTTTTCTTTTTAGTCATTTTAGTACTTCAGCTTTCATTTAATTCAATTAGTTGCTAAGGCAATATTTCTGATTTTCTTTTAAGTTTTAGCAGTAACAACACTGATTTAGGTTAAATACTCTCTTAAAGGGATCGTTTACCCCCCAAAATAAGATTCGATTATCATTTATTCATCCTCATATCATTCCAACCCTGTTTTAATTATGAAACACAAAAAGAGATATTAGGCAGAATGTCCAAGCTGCTCTTTTCCACAAAGTGAAAGCTGGGTTAAGCTCCAAAATGACAAAAAAGCTGTCTATTTTAGAGCTTTGCATAGCAGAAAACGTTCAGTGTAACATACATTAAAAAAAACGTAAATATTTAATACATATACAGTACACCGCACACACACATATATTCTGTAAACACAAACTTTTATTTTGCATGCGATTAATCGTGATTAATCAATTTGACCACTAATTTCTGTATATTCAGGCACAAAGCAATTATATGGCTTCAGAAGACTTGGAATATAGCATGCAAGAGGTATGGACAACATTTATGTTTTGTTATTGTTTTATAATTTGTCATCCTTTTGGGAGCTTGGCATTACTGTATATATTGCCTTTTACTTTCATTATACAAAAAATAGCTGCTTGGACATTCTGCTAAGCATCTCCTGCTGTTTTTCACTGAAGACAGAAAGCCACACAGCTTTGGGAGAGTAAAAGATGAATTTTCATTTCTAAGTGAACTGTTCCTTTAAACCACAGTCAGTGCTTACGTGGCCACAGGTAAGAATGCATTTTGCTGTTCCTAACTCTTTAAGGCTTAAATATTTAAGTGTTTACAGAAGCAGAGTCTACACCAGGCACACATTTAAAAGATGAATTGCTGTCTACTGTACAGTGGTTGCTGTGCCATCACAGATGAGCTATTGTCATGCAATATAAACACAGCCACAGGCACAGTTACTTGGAAATAGCTGAATGCAAGTTAAACAGTAAATATAATGGGAACATGTGAGGTCTTATAAGGACCGGTGATGGACTGGTATACTGAAGGACTGGGCGAATGTCTCTTGGATGTTTATATTGGATGTCTGAATCAAAAGCGCAAAACACTTAAAGCCAGTCTGAGCACTTTGATCTGTTTTTTTTTCCTCCCATTTTGATGTCAAAATTTGTCGAAGCGAGATCACTGAAATAAGGTGATGAAAGACAGGTTTAATAGTCGACCCATGACTCACCTTGTTAAGAATGAAATATCTGATGATGAAGAAAAGCAGACCAGACATGAGACCAGACAGCAGAGGGGAGATGAACCATGAGGCAACTGCATCAAATAAACAGCAATTACTAAATCAATAGCGTGCCAATATAATGACGCATAATGCTGCTAGAGGCACAAAGGCCAACAGGCAACGTTAAACAAATTACACATCTCTGTTACAAGTATATCGACAACAAAAATTAGATAATGTCACTCCAGAGAAACAATACATTCAAATGCTTGGGGTTGGTAAGATTTTTTAAATGTTTTTGAAAGAAGTTTCTTTTGCTCACCAAGGCTTCATTTATTTTATAAAAAATACAATAAAAACAAAATACTGTGTAATATTATTCCAATTAAACATAATCGCGTTCTATTTTAATGTATTTTAAAATGCAATTTATTCCTTTGATGGCAAAGCTGAATTTTCAGTCTTCAGTGTCACATGATCCTCCAGAAATCATTCTAATATGCTGATTTGGTTTTCAAGAAACATTTATTATCAGTGTTGAAAACAGTTTTGTTGCTTAATATGTTTGTGACAATTTTTTCAGGATTGTTTTGATGAATATATATCTCAAAATAACAGTATTTTTAATTGAAAGTCTTTTGCAACATTATGCACGCCCTTACTATCACTTTTGATCCATTTAATGCACCCTTGCTGAATAAAAGAATTTATCTCTCTTACTGATGCCAAACTTTTGAACAGTAGTGTGGAACATTAATTAGGACACAGGACATTAAAAATGAACTAAACAGAAACATTCAGTAAAAGGCTGACCTTTAGCTTCAAAGCGTTTAAAAAAGTTTTTAAATTTTCTGGTGTGCAAATAACTACCACAGTAAAATAAATAATGAATTGCATAATGGATTTTTTTCTTACCAATTTTGACTAACTGCATCCACTGCACTCCTTTAGTGCCAATAGCAACCATGGAGAAGCCAATAGTAGATCCCACAATGCAATGAGTTCCAGAAATGGGCAACTTCAGAAAAGAGGCAATGAGCTGCCAAACCGCAGACCCTGAAAAAGACAGGAATATGAGTGGGAGGTGGAGCAACCAAAAAAAAAAGTATTCCAGCCATATGTTCTCTTCCCTTCTGTCTTCAATACAGACTCTAGACGGGACACTATTAAAAATATTACAATGTAGCCATTCATAACCCAGTGATGTTAAAAACAACAACAACGGCATAACGTTTTTTTTTTTTTTTAAACCTTTCCATGCAGTTCTTTGAATTCAATTTTTTTTAATTTACATTTTTTACTCTAAAAGTGAATTTTTTAACTCAGACTTCAGCTAACATACTCTATTACAAATCTGGCAGCCTACAGTGAATAAACGAATGCCTCGCTAAGCTTCTCCATCATTAATCTTCAAAATGAAACATTGAGGTTTCGACTTTAAATGAGCCATTACTTACCGACCATGGCGCTGACCTCTCCCGCCATCAGTATCGGCACTGTGTCATTGTATAAACTGACATCTATAATTCCCTTCCGAATGGTTTCCCCGACCTTGGCACCGAGGAGCATGGAGCCAAGGGTCTCAAATATGGAAGCCAGGATGCAGGCCTGACGTAGTGTCACCACCCCTGACCCGACCGCCGTGCCAAACGAGTTTGCCACATCATTGGCCCCCACTGAAAATGCCAGGATGAAGGCTATAATGAAGCCAAGCACAACCATCCACAGGTACGGTTCCAAATCCATCTTGGCTTTTGTTCACGCAAAGCTTCCAAATGAATCCCAAGCAAGCAACTACAAAGAACTGGAGTAAGGTACTGTACTATGAAGGAAATTCTCCTTCGCCCGTTTTTTCTCCCAACTTTCCCCAGGCTAAAAGAGTTCTTGGGGGAGAGGCACACTGCTAACTAAGCCGTTTAACCTCAGTCTGTAGAGTGCTGAGCAGTGTAGGCAGGAGAGAGCATTCCATTGTTTGGCCCTCTAAGTGTCCTGTCCACAAAGATGCCTTCAGCTGTCAAAACAAGAGAGACAAGGACATCATTAGACAGTATTTGAGCCTTCCTTATAGATCGCATAATGTAGCCTAAAAGACCATGGGAAATGGAAAAGTTGGAGAGACAGGTATTGGTGACGTCAAGGAACATTAAAGCTGGGAAAATAAAATAATTAAAATACAGGATTGGGGAGCTAGAAACTCAACAGAAAACAACAAACGGTCAATAAAAGGAGGCGCTTATCCTTCTGACAATGTTGATTATCAACTTCAAAAAATCAAACACTGGGATCTAAATAGGCCTACTGTTGAAAACACTGATCCTGTGGGGTTTTTTTCTAGTAATAAACATCAGTAATAAATGACAAAAATCAATATTAAAAAAAATGAAGAAAAAAAATGGCTGAATGAGTAACAGGGTTGAAAACTATATGCAGGTTTGTATTCATTTTCTATAAATTAAAAAATATATATATTTTTGTTAATTTTTACAAAAACATAACTTTTCACATAAACAGCACAAAATAAAGTTGAAAAAAACAACAATAAACTTCAACAAATGGCCAAAAAGGTGGTGCTTAGTCTTCGGAAAATGGTTATCATAAACCTTAAGAACTCAACCTTTAGGACACGTCTAAATTGCTTCTGTGCTTTGTCCTAGTAAAAAATAACAAATTAATTCACAAACATTCTTAATAAAAAAAAAAAATAAAATAAACAAGAAATGAGCAACAGGGTTGAAGATTAGCCACTCAGGAAGGGCTAGCTAGCTAAGAACTAAATGTTGGTTAGTAGTCACTTTCCAAAAAACTAAGAAAAATATTTATTTAATATTTTTTCCCCGCACAATAACTTAAGTAACAGGGCTGAAGGTTGAACATGACAAACTTGACACCTTGACAAACTCGTCTTCCTGCCATGCTGTAAAAGAGTCCAAATAAAACTGTAGTAGAAGAATGTTACATTGTTTGGAAAAGGGGGGGAAATCATGTGGTAACAGGATTAATAATCACAAATTTGTTTGACTACAATGAAATGAATACTTCAACAGATTATGGTAAGATTATGACGATAATATGACGTTACTGTATGACTTTAATCGTTGGATAGAGTCAGAAAAGTCAAGAACTTTGAAGTGAGACAGGCCAAAACCAGCATTTTTAGGAGGTGGGATATAGACATTTGTTTGTATGTTACAATTTAACTAGTATGAAAAGTTGCTCTATTTAATTCAAGTGCACAATATAATGATTTTAAAAAATAAAGGTTTGAAATAAACAAATAGCATTACACAAAATAGACAAAAAACACTTGAGCACTTACATTAACTGGCCACCTTACACTATGACACCAAGGGCGAAGCGTTCAGGAGTGACCAGGACACAACGTGACTAACCCAGTGCACATCCATAACAGAATGTAACAGCGCAGTAAGCACCACAAAACAATCACTCCTGCTTCACACCTCCTCTCGCCTTCTTGGCTTGGTTTCAGGTTTGAGTCTCCCACTGAGCCGAAGCAGTACAGCGAGTCGTGCTCCAGCTGCACTGTGCAACACTGCAGAGTCGCAGCCCCTAATACCCGCTTACAGCCTCCTTGCTTCCTGCTTTCCCCACTCTAAGAATCTTAGTGGGTCAAATTCACTGGAAAACGGCAGGTCTGTAAATGGGCCACTATGTGCTTGGTGAAATCTGATCAGTCCTGTTTATCGGAACGACTGATCCCACACCACGGGGGGACACTGGGACAGTACGGTATTTAGAGCATCAGTCAACAGCTGATGACTGAATGGACTTTAAAGCATTACAAAGACGCAGTATACGACCGTATAGTGACGTCAAAACCATCACCTGTAAAATTACAGAGCGTCCTCACCACAGGCCAAACCTGCAATGCAGAGGGTGAAAATCACTGCTCAGTGATACAGAAGTCAACTCGGAGGGGGGACAATGGCACATTCTTCTACTTCACTAAGCCTGTTGTTTAAAGGGAATTAAATGTAAACAGTGGGAAAGCCAGACTAATACATGCTCAAGGTACTGTTTGTGTGCAAGAGTCACGTGAACGTCAACACCTCATGTATCAAACATCACATGGTTGTTGACTTTGTCAAAAAGGATAGTCTGTATAGTAGTCATGGTTATGTTTTAAGTCACCCTTGGTTTAAACGTGACAGAAAGGAGGGCATAATGTCTGAAACTGTCCTTATTTTTGCAATTCAGTTGGGTGCAGAAATGACATACTTCACCTATAAATAAAAAGAACCTGAGATGTACCTGTGTAAGGAGTGTGACAAGTACAACATTAAGCCCCAGGACAAATGTCAGTAAAGATTAATAGTGTTACAAATAATTTCAAATAAATGTTATTTTAAACTTTAAATTTATCAAAGAATCCTTAAAAAATGTCAAGATTTCCACAAAATAAAATTAAGCAGTACAACTGCTTTAACTAGTGTTAACAGAAAGAAAATTCAGATTTGCCATCACGGGAATAAATTACATTTTAAAATACATTAAAATAGTACTTTTAAATTGTAATAATCTCACAATGTTACTATTTTGCTGTATTTTGGTTAAATTAATGCAGCCTTGGTAGGCATAAGAAATGTCTTTCAAAAACCATTTAAAAAAAATTGGACAGGCTCCCAACTTTTGAAAGGTAGTGTATACGTTTTATATACACACACACGTCGATCAACTTCTAAAGGAGATGTTATAACACATTCAAGCAATGCCTGTTTGTTTTTCGGGAAATAAAGCACTTTTGAGATATAAATGTCTCATGCATACTAAATAGCAGCACTGGATTTTAAAGAGGTCTGCATTTGAGAACTAATAATGGTTACGACACATTTTGGGAAAACTGATGCAAAGCCAAAATACTGATACAGCCATGTGACATCAGGACAGGGCGATAAGCTGAGACAATTTAATGTTTACTATTGTCATTTTGCATTATTGACACACTATTTTCCTAATTAATGCTGTTCAGTTTCTTTGACACAATCTGTATTGTTAAAAGCGCTATATAAATAAAGGTGACTTGACTTGACTTGACAATTTGGATGAAATTAGACGCTTCTGCTGCTCTCGGAAATTTGAGGTCTATTGGTTTTTGGCCCTTCAGCTCTTTAGCAATCTGTGTAACAGCTTTAGCGATTCATCTGCTGACAGCTCTTGTCAAAGCCCATTTTTCATACTATTGCTGAACTGATTCCTGTTAGGAGAAAACAATCACCTTATTCAAAGAGATTAAACCGATATCAACAATAATATGCATTATTATTTCAAGATTCATTTATATGTTTGACTTTGTTTTAAATGTGAGAAATTCACTCTCAGTTTGGAACAAAAATCACAGCTACATTTCAAGACATACTTAAAAGAACCGTTCATCCAAAAATGAAGATTCTGTCATAATTTTCATACCCTTACCTTTCTTCTGCTATTTAGTGTTGGTTACCACTGAAACCCAACAGAGTTCCACAGAAGAAAGTCAGTCATACAGATTTGAATCAACATAAGGGTGAGTAAATGATGACAGAATGTATATTCTTGGGTGAACTGTCCCTTTAAGGGCCCATACATAAACTGCAACAACATAAAACATATAAACAAACTTAAATTGCCAAGGATACATTTCATACACCGTAGGGTGCGAAAACTCTATTAAACCCTCTAGGCTCAAATGTTCATTATGCATTTAATAGCTTTACATGGATGTAACAAAAATTTCCATAAAATTCAAGTTATGACACTATGGGATATTCAACACTATAAACCCCTAAGGCAAAAAACAAGCACTGGGAGAAGAATATCACCATAATACTAACTAATCTGAATATTAAAAGCATTCAGCTGATACTTTGACTGCTAAACACAGGAAGAGAGATGTGTGGGGTCCTTTTATGCATAATGATAATAATATTATGTATTCTGGCAAGTTTTTACAAAGCATTCCCCTTGACAATGACATGCCCTGTCCAATATATGAGGTACATACAGAACCTGTTGCATTAGACACGACACAAGAAGAAAGGAGAGAGTGCAGTAAAATGCATCTGTAATGACTGCAGCACTCTAAACTCTAATCAAGTGTACTCACCTTCAGGCTATGCAGTGCTCAGAGTTTTCCCTCTTTTTTGTAAAGTGGGGTCGGAAAATAATTGGAAAAATGGGAGATGAGCAGATTAAACGTGAGGGCTCATGAATGAAATGATGGGAAAATGCCCAGCTGATGTGCTGACTTATGACAGTGAAAGAGGAGCAATGAGACCGGTGAATGGATTCAGACAAAGAAAAGATCACAATGTTCTGTAAAATGTAGTACAAGGAATTGCCAGATGAAAGTCAGACGTGTTGCAGGACAACAGCAGCTCGATTCTCATTGAAAAACCTGTCACTGCAGTCTAGACTGCTTCTTAAAGAGAGGCAGCAGCATCACAGGTCAGCCAGCCAATCATACACGCTTTCAACGGGAGCGGTGGATGTGATTGGCTAATGCAGTATGGGAAGAAGGTGTGACGGGGGATATCAAGCCAATCAGAGTGGGGAGAGAAGAGGAGGGGTGGGTGAATCATTTCTAACAGTCAGGAAAAGGCATGCAGTCATACCAAGGACATTCAGTGGTGTATACACTGACTGCTGGCTTCATTATATCTGCATTATGTCTCTCTAAAGGAATGTAGCATCAAATAAACACACATAACCAAATGGAAGAGGAAAATTTACAAATAAGATTAAAAAAAAAAACACCACAGAATTATCTCTCCTCAAAGTGGAGCAGCAGACAAACACAGTATTGTAAAATATGTTAATATTATAGGATATGCAAACTCCCGTGGCACAACAGATGAAAGGAAGTCAATGGTATGCATGTAATTTGTATGGGGGAAAACAAAAAAATTATTACATATATATTTTAACAATACATAAGAGCAAAACAAACAAACAAAACCAAACCAAATAATAATAGTCCTATTTGTAATAATAATATCAGTTATTATTAATTTGACA